GTATATGTATGTGTATGTGTGTATGTGTGAATGTGTGTGTGTGTGTGGTATATGTATGTGTATGTGTGTGAGTATGTGTGAATGTGTGTGTGAGTGTGTGTATGGGTGTGTGTATGGGTGTGTTTCTATGCGAAAGAAAGATGACCTCCTAGCTTTTTCTGTCCTAAGGCATTCCTTGAGACTTAGCTTAAGCATAGCAATGATTTTGGCTCTCCCTGTGAAAGTACACAGGTAGTGCATAAGAATATGTTGCAAACTGAGAAAGCAGATGCACTTGGGCACATGAACTTCACACAGAGACCAGAACCGAGGAACCCAGGGCTCTCCTTCTTTTTCACTGTCTCTAACCTAGAACTCAGCAGCCAACAATCCAGTATTTCTACATACAAAGACAAAGAAAATAAAGAGTTGCACATTAAATCTTTCCAAGACACCAGCTTATTAAGAACACATGGCTTGGAGGATTAAGTTTATAGGTAAGTGGAAATACTGATGTGTTGGAGAGAAGCAGAGTCTGCAGTGACTCCAACTCCACCCTGACCCCCACCAGGAATTGTTACAGGACTACACAGGAATTCCATTCACACACAGAGAGAAAATCAACAACACAGAATCTGAATGATACCTCTGTTCCCAACACACTTCTTCACCCACTGAGTGGCTGCCACAACACTCTCTGTCTTGGTGACATCAAGGATCACTGTCTCCAGCCTGTCAGATGTCTTGCTCCTTAGCTGCTTGGGTACCTTCTCTGTCAGATATGCAGCCAGCACCCTCATTCCTCTCCCGTCCAGCTGTCTGGACATCAGGTTCCCAAAGCCTGAGCCACAGCCCATTATGAAGACATACTTGTCATGGAGATGGCTCACCACCTGCCTTTCCCTGAACAAGTGCAGGAGTGTCCACAGGCCCACCAGTGACACTAGGTAGAGCCACATGGCAAGTAGAAGACAGGTAGAGAAAGAGAAATACTATGAGTCAAAACGAGCCTGCCATCTGCTCTAACGGGAAGGTGTAGGCACCAAGGACTCCACCCTTCTGACATGCAGTCTTCTGCATTTCTTATAATTATTAATGCCTTCTCCCCTACCCTTTAACATGCTTTTAATCACAAGTCATACAATGGTCGTTGACTTTCCCTATATTCTTGCCAAGAAAAACACCTCTGATATTCAATATCACAGATATATTCTCTTATAATCTTTGTGTTCAGGACTCATCTGTGAATATATTTTTGCTTCATTACAGAGGCCCCATGGTCAGTCCAAGGATCCCCTTGGGTCTCTGTATCTTGCACTCTGGAACTACAAACCAGGACCTTTTGAACATAATGAGAATCTAAGGTAACCTAAAGATGGTCTCGGGATAACTTACAGGAGAGGACAGGGTGACCTGAAGTTCTCCTAATACAGCAGCTCCTGGGAAGGTAGAAGGGCCGGCCTCAAACATGGAAGACTGCGCTCAAAGGAATACATCGTGATGAGGCTGGGATGCCAGACACACCATGACTCCAAGACCTGATGGGGGAAGGAAATGACTTTATCCTCTCAAGTGGCCCTTCTCCTGGCTACCTGGTTTAAAACAGACATAAGCATAGATTCTTTGAGTTGTGACCTTGATGGGTGTCTCTGGCTTACATGACCCAGGATTTCTTGATTAAATTCCTCAAAACTTCTAGAGTAGTGTTTGGAGCTTTGCATCTGACTCTTGGGCTGGGAAATGCCTTACTGACCCTCTGATTCCAGCTCAAAATAAACCTGGTAGCTTTATTGCATCATTCAAGAATGATGTCAAATTTCCCTAATCTGACACTTCCACAACTTTCTGTCCTAACCTATAAGAAACCAGACTGGTCTTCTGCACTCAAGAACCATGTTTCTATCAGGAAGTGTCTCAATACAGGATAGATTTCAGCTCTGCCTTAAGGTCTGGGCCTTGGTTATCAGTGGAAAGATAACCGTGAATCTGGAGCTGGGCCACTTTCCCTCCAATGGGTAGCCTCCACTGGATCTGCTCTGTATTTGCCCTGCTCTTCCTTCTCCCCTGTGCCTGATCCTGTATGATGTATGTTTGCTATTCCTTGTCCTCCTGCTTCCATTCCTGTCCCTCCTCATGCTTCTGCAGAAGCTAACAGGATACTTTTCATGTGGCTCTTAGCACCCAACAGGTCCTCAGAATCCTAGCTCTAAATTGAATCTTGCAAAATGTAGCACTGGGCTTTGTTGACCAAAGTACATGCAGATATTAGTACTCTTGGATCTTCTGTTGCTTCAACACTGAATTCTCTAGAGCAATCATTCTATGGTCATTTCCTAATCCACTCTACTACAGTCCTGTCCTTATCAACACTGACAGTGTTGGGCACTCTTGTTGAATCAAGATCTTCTGGAATTTAGTAGGATCTATATCCGGTCCTGGAATTCTGGATAAATTCAGAGACAATAGGAAAGTGAATGTGACTTTGTTGCAGGAGACACAGGGCTGAAGAGAAAGCATCCCAGACACCTCTCTAATTCATGGAGGTTCCTTCAGTCCATGAATCTCTCCTGAGACTCTCACACAAGCCAAATGACAGTACACAGCAGCAACTCTTACCTGTACTGGGTAAGATGGACAGATCCCATTCCAAGCCTGACCCAGTGGGTGTCCAACACTGCAGCCCTTCTGATCTCTGGGCTTCTCTAGTCTGCTGATAAAGATGGGAAAAGAATAATCTACTGGAATTAGGAGTCCAGCTCATCCCAGGGGGGAAGCACTTTCTCCAAAGGCAGTGTACCCCAACCAACCCAACATTTCTTCATTCAAAAAGGGGAGACGTGGAGCCTAGCATCAGTGGTACAAAGGATAAACACAGGCTGACTGTCAAGAATCTACATCTTGGAGTACTGAATCTAGAAGTAAGAGGACAAATTTATGTCCTATTGAGGGACAGAGTCTGTAGATTCTCCAAATCTATACAGACCCCCACCACAAATCGTTGTAGGACTACACAAGCCTTTCCTTCATACATGGAAAGAAAGCCAACAACACAGACAGGAATCTCAATGGTACCCCTATTCCCAACATGCTCCTTCACCCACTGAGTAGCAGCTACAATACTATCTGTAGTATTGGTGTGACTATTCCTCACTACAGGGTCCTGTTTTCATGCTACTCTACTCTTATTAAAGTGTTCTCTCTGACAGATCTCTGAATTGCTTGCCATCTCTCTGTCTTGCAGGAGGGAGCTCTCCCATTTTGGTGTGAAGTTGGCTATTATAGAGCCTGGACTCTTCAAGACTCCTATGACTGATAGTGCCAGAATCTCATCAAACTTCCAGATGCTGTGGGACCAGACCAGCTCAGAAATCAGGGAGACCTATGGTGAGAAATACTTGGCATCCAGTAAGTGAGCTCTCAGGATGAAAGCCAAGTTCACCCCTGAACACTGTAATTCCATGCTCATTTTGCAGTTCCAATAGTATACTTGTTATCCTCAAAGAATCCTCAGAACATGCTGCTCTGTTACTTCTGATCCTCATGCTCATGGGGCTGTAAGTGAAGTCAGGAATGGGAGGCAGTACAAAATTAACACTTTCCATGAAATGAGATACAGGTGACTGAGTGTTCTCAATTATTCCTTGAAGATTGTTTCTGGTCCTTCTGAGGAACTGGGACAGTTTAGGCTTGGTTTCAGACACATGGATTTTCTGACATAGAGGATAGAAATTTTCCTCTAGGCTGGTATGAGACAGGAGTGGTGGGAAATGAATAACCATCTGAATGATTCCTCATTCTGCTTAGGTCTGAAAATGCAAAATGAAATGGAACAGGTGTGCAGGAAGGACCTGTCTTTGGTGACTGACTGCATGGAGCACGCTCTGACTGCCTGTCACCCTCGCACCCGATACTCAGCTGGATGGGATGCCAAGCTCTACTACCTCCCCTTGAGCTACCTGCCCACCTCCCTTGTGGATGCCCTTGTCTACTGGACTTCTCCAAAGCCTGAGAAAGCCCTGTGAAGGCTAGATCCTTTTGTGTAGTTGAGTCAATAGAAGTACAGTGTGAGGGCACAGAGCCTCAGGACGAGGAAGTTTCCTGGACTCAGCACATATGTGATGTGCGCAGTTGCATGGATTTTCTTTCCTCATCATAAACATTGTGGATACGGGACCACAGGAAACTGCTGTGCTTAAACAATCATTACCATTGTTGGTGAAATAGAAAATGATCTTCCCTGTCTTGGTTTTATCCATTTTACTCATGATTTTTAAACATTTGTTTTTATTTATCTGTATACATATGTATCTGTAATTCAGTTGTGTATAGTACCCATATAGGACAGATCATTGCATTCCCTGTAACTGGAGTCCTGTGGAATGGGAATTTCAGGTAGTTGTGAGCTACCTAACTTTGGCATTGGCAACAAAATTTGGGCCATCTAGTAGATAAGCAAGTCCTGTCACCAGCTGTTTATGATCTGAAGTCTTTATTATGCTTTAAGTTAATAACCAAGTTAGTTTGAGGCAGGATCTCACTTGTCACACAGGTACATCATGATCTCCTGAATCTCTGGCCTTGTTACAATTCATCTGACTTAGTTCTGAAACCCTGACTAGTGCAGGTGAGGGAATGTAGAAAAGACAGACACACAGACACATGCACAGAAAAGATGGCATCAGGTGCCTTGTGTCAGCACTGAGGGTCCTCAGCTACCTCCCCTGCAACCTCAGTTCTTTATCATGAACAGCAAGGGGGAGGGACCAACTAGTTTTGGCTGAAGGTAGCTCTCTCAGGCTGGAAACCTCCAGAAGGGGGAAGCTGCAGTTGCTAGTATTTACACTCTGGTCAATCATCCACCAACCCCTGAACTTGGGTCAGTGGAAGAAGACTTTGCCAATTCTGAGCCTGGCCCATATAGAGAAAAGCTTTGCTAGTTCGTGGTGCCTGGCCAACAGTACACATTCACCAGGACTACAGTCATGCAGGGCTTCCTCTGCCTCTTTGGTCCTCTGTCTTCAGGGGTGTATTTGAGACTTTGATACCAGTTTAATGTAAACAAGGTGACTTTCTGTTCTTATAAGGTCACTCTTTCTCTAATCTTAAATTTATTTTTGTACACTTTATATATGTGTGTGTGTGTGTGTACACATAACACACTTATGCACATGCAAGCACATGTGCACACACATAGACAAACACACATATCCTCCTTTCACTTATCCTCTACCCCCACCACCTAACCTCTTGTCTTCTGAACAAGTCTGTGGCCTATTTTCTTGTACGGTATATCCTTCTGTCCCACTGCATTACTTAGGGATGCCTGTATCAACATGGGTGTGTGTGGGGAATGCTTAGCTCGGCTCACGGCAGTGAATCTTGTTGGGTGGTTGTGATTCCCATGGGTCTGCTGACACAGTCGGCTGGGACATTGACTCTGGGCAGCAGGAGCACACATGGGAAGTTCGATGGGCCCCTGCAGCAGAGAATATGGAGAAGCTTTCCACAAAGGGAGGCCGCAATGACACGAGGAAGACCGCGATTCCAAAATATCTTTATTCTCATAGTGAAAGATAGTTGAATCTGGTTGTCCACCCACACTTAAGATAGGGGGAGGCTGACTTACATAGGGAGGAAAGAGGTGGGGATCTGGAAAAAGAATATGTACTACACCCTCTGGCCTTTAGGTGTCTCATTGATATGGAAAACTCTTGAGACTGAAACATGTAGTCACACCCTCTACGAGAGTTAGGTGACAACACTTTGGGAGGGGCTGCCTTGCCATACCTGACTACAAGGCACAGGTCAATGGCAAGTCAGGATCCTGGGGTCTGGGGGTGAGGCCGAACACCTGCCATTGCACCATTGGGATCAAGGTTTGAGGCCTGTGCCACACCAAAAACCAAGCCATCCCTTCTCGGACACATGTTGTGGAATTATTTACTTGAGCAAGGGCAATATATCAGTAACTACTCTGTTGAGAAATTTGCCTCCCCCTCCCCTAGCAACCAGGAAATGCCTGTAGCCCCACAGGGAGGGGTGTGGCCTTATGAGCCAACACTCTCACCCCATCGCACCATTGATTGGACAAGCTGATGACATCACTTTTGTAAAGGACACTCTTCCTCATCCAGATCACAGGAATCCAGCTGGCTTTATTGCTACCCAAGATTACATTTCCAGCATTAAATACTCCCCAATACACTGCAGTCTGTGCCCACCTTGACCTTCCTGACCATCTTCTTAAAACTCATAGCACCTTGGGGTTGTTGATTCTCCTATATCTAGACCAGGTTGATGGAGAACACCAATGCAGGAGTAGCCTGCTTCTCTCCTTATGCCCACGCTGAGATCCTAGACCCTCAGACACTGAAGGTCTGAATGTAGCAGACTCCATTGCATAAGGTCTGTAAAGATAGGAAGATGTCTTGGAAATCAGTCAGACTCGGGGGCCTAAGCCCTACCCACTGGAGAAGCATTATTTTGGCATACATTCTGGACAGACACTAACCTTCAGGAAATCTAAAGAGGAGCCATACTGTCAGTTCACATGACTGTCCATGGAGCACTCCAGGGTGAGCACAGGATGCTACATGTCACAATAGTTGGGGGTGGTGGTTGATGAAGAGGCAGGAGAAGTAAGGAGAAAGAGGAAAGAATAAGCCAGGGCCCATAGTTCTGGACAACTTTACGTTTGTTATCACATGGTCAAATGGTGCTCAAAGAAGAGATGGACTCCATGCAAGTTCTCAGTGGAAACCAGAGACTCACCATATGCTTGCTCCAGTGAGAAGGAGGGAGAAGACTGGTGTGCATTGCCCAGCTTTGCCTTCAAGGCTGACCTAGGTATCAGGGAGGAGATGATTCTACCCAGAGCTGGAGTTTTCAATCCCAATGCAGGGTATTGCCCAGGTCCTTCTCTACCTCCTGTCCCTCTGCTTCCTGCTGCTATTCCTCTTGTTCTGCCTTCTCTTGCTGCTCATCCTGGTCCTCCTCCTCTTACTACTCTTGCTCCTGCTCTTCCTCCTGCTGCTCCCCCTTTCATTCCTCCTCCTCCTCCTCCCTCTCCACTACTTTCTCCTGTTCCTCCTCCTGCTAATACCCTTCCTGGTCCTCTTCCACCTGCTGCTCTTCTTCCTGCTGCTGCTCCTCCTTCTGCTGTTCCTCCTCATTCTCCTTTTCCTCCTACTGTTCTTCCTCCTACTCCTCTTCCAGTTCTTTCTCCTGCTGCTCCTCCTCCTACTGCTCCTCTTCCTGTTAATTCTTCTTCTCTACTTCCTGCTGTTCCTTCTCTTCCTGCTGCTACTTCTTTTCAGCTTCTTTCTTTACCTCTCTACCTCTTGTTTCTGCTCTTCATTCTTCTTTTCTGTCCTTGCTCCTCCTCCTGATGCTGCTTCACCTCCACACCCTGCTCCAGCATCTCACCAGTCTCTTGCTGCTCTTCTTCCTCTGGCTCCTATTCAGGCTCCTGAGTCTTCAGTAGTTGCCTGGACTCTCTTTCATTGTCTTATTTCAGTAATAGAGAAGAGGAAAGAAAATTCTCCACAGCCGACAGGACCTAAGGATGCTCATCCTTGCCCATATCTAGTTAACAGAACCCTGAAGGACTCCTGGGCTGGACAAATGGCAGATTTCATTTCCCTGGTGACTCCTTGTTCCTTTACCTGTGAATTTCCCAGGCCCATCTATTCAGTATCATTTCCTGCATCTCACACCTACTGTCCTTTCCTTACTAATCCTGACAATACTGGGCACTCTTCTTGGTGTCAAGGTCTTCTAGGACACAGCAGGATCTAGATCTAGCCCTGTAATTTCTACTAGGACCAGGTGTCTGGTTCAGTGCAGCGGGGAGCACTTTCATCCAAAAGGCAGTGTTCCCCAACCAACCCACCCTTTGTTCTTCATGAAAAAGGTGAGGGATGGAGCCTAAAGTCAGTGCTGCAAAGGTGGAAATGGGCCCACTGTAAAGCCTGTTTCTAGACTTCACCACATGTAGCCCCTACACAGTCTTAACTAGGGTAGCAGAGGTGAAGGGACATTTCTGCTCTAATACCTGAAGGTCTAAATTAGTGGTGCTCAACTTTCCTAACACAGTGGCCCTTTAATGAAGTTCTTCAAGCTCTTGTGACCCCAATCACAAAATTTTTTTATAGTTATAGATGGCTCAGTTCCCATTGATCTAAGTAGATCAGAGCAGCCCAGAGATCAGAATACTTGCAGTATTGGAAATTTATAGGACCTAGCCTGGAATGTTACAGGCGCACCCTACCCAGGACAGAGAAGAGGAGCAGGTGCACACTGTTATTTGGCTTGTGTGAGAATCTAGTAGGAGTGGATCAACTGAGGGAACCTCCATGAATCAGGGAGGTGTCTCTGAGGCTTTTACAGTTACTTCACAACTGTAATTTTGCTACTTTCATATTTATGTACATAGCTGTAATTATGAATTGTAACATAACTATGTTTTTCAGTGCTCTTAGGCTACCCCCGGGAAAGAGGAACTCTATCCACACGGGGTTCCATACCCACAAGTTGTGAACCATTGGACTAGAGGTTGGGACTTAATAAGGTACACATCTCACAGAGGACCAAAACAACAAATGGAATAAATAAGGTAGCTTCTTGTAGCAGCTGATGATAAAGTGGAGGAGAAAGAGGAAGAGGAGAAAGAGGAGGAGGAGGAGAAAGAGGAGTAGGGGGAAGAGGAGGAGGAGGAAGAGGAGGAGACAGAAGAGGAGGAAGGGTACCACCGGTAGGCCAATGTGGAGGATGGCGGGAACAGGTCAGTGGGGTCACAGAGTAAGAGGAAAAGGAGAAGGAAGACCAGGAGGAGGAAGAGGAGGCAAAGGAAGAAGAGACTAGGAAGATGGATGAGTGAGTAAACTACTAGACGCCCAAGAATACAAACGTGACTACAATCTCCAGATTAGAGAAGCTAAGATCACTGGTGTTGCTGTTCTTCTTAGTCTGGAAACGTGGGGATGAGCAGACTTTAGGGACTCACTAGTCAAGCAGCACAGCCTACTGGTGAGCACTAATCTAATGAGAGACAAGTTCTCAAACAGAAGCATATGAACAAATAGGTGGGTGGTAGTAGCACATGAGGTAGAGACACACACCATTAACCCCAGCACTCAGGAGGCAGAGGCAGGCAGCTCTCTGTGAGTTTGAGGTCAGCCTAATCTACATAGTGACTTCAAGGGGAGTCAGGGCAGCACAGAGAAAACCTGTCACAAAGAACCCAACACTGACAAAAATCTTACAAATAACAAGCTAAGTTTGGTGTGGTGTTATATATCAGTAATGCCACCCACCCAGAGTCTGGGGCAGGGAGAAAAAAATGACAAGCTCAGCCAAACTCATGTACCCAGATTCTGTCTCAAAACCAAAACAAGTAAAATTTTAACATGAACAAAATGGATGGCCCTTTAACACAGGGTCTCAATTTCTGTTTTCTCCTGTGTAAAAAGACTTTTAATTTACCCTTTGAAATTGTTGTCTCTGGGGCACACTGCCTCCATCTGCTAACCTAAGTCTAGTACTGGAATCTTCTAGCATCTATAGAATCTAATCTAGGCCTAGAATGTTTTCACCCTCTGATACTCACTGAACTCTGGCTGGCTGGTTCAATTCAGCTGTTCTAGCTCAAACCCCTCTCTAAGATGACTGATTCAATCTGGCCATTCCAGGCTTCATCTGAATTGTCCTGTTTGGCCTTGAACTATCTGTGTTAATCTGTTCCTAATCTTCAGACTCCAAATTCTACAGCTCATTTTGTTATCACTGTGTTTCTCTGTGTTGGTTCATGTCTCTGTGTTTGCTCTCTCTCTCTCTCTCTTTCTCTCTCTCTCTCTCTCTCTCTCTCTCTCTCTCTCTCTGTCTCTGCAACCTGTCTCTGTACAACTGTCCCAGTAAAACTGCCTCCTCCTCCCTCTCTGTGATGCTCCACTCATCCTCTCAACTCTACTGAACTGTCTCCACGAACACTACTGTCTTCATGTTCTGTAATCTCTTCTTCTGTACTGTCTGTCTCTCAATTAAGTAGTTTCCCTTTCCTCTCTCTTCTCATGGGAGTTGGGTATATCCTATTCTGTCAAATCTCTCTGATTGATCACTTCGTCTGCAACTCATTTAGACATCACTTTCAAATATGGGTGCTTCCTTCTATAAATTATATTTACCTTCATTGTATGGGATTAAAGGTGAGTACTAATAGCCTGTCTGTATACCAGCCACAGGGATTAGAGTGTGTTCTAATGGCTCAGTCACACATTAACTAGAAACCAGTTCAAAGATCCTGTAACACTTAAAATAGATTTGCCAATGATAACATAATCTTCATTTTATTCTCAGGGAAGACACTAGAACATCTGGAGAGGTTGCTTACAATGACACTTTGGGGTTGAACCCAGGACTCTGCCACTTCCTGGAAATGTTTTCCGTGATTATCCCTTACTTGAGAGAATCACCACAATCCTACAGACATACAGAGCAAGGTCTTCAGAAGACAAGTCCAAGAGCCTCTCTGACCCAGCACTGCAAACAAAAGACCAGGATTCAGACATGGTACTGACATCATCCACCAAGGGACTGCAGGAGGGGAGTAGAAGGCATGAGGAGTGGTACACAGAAAATTGAGATGGTCAGCTAGTGAGGCTATAGAACAGGACCTGGTTCCAGCCAGTATCTCCTAGAGCATCTACTGGATGCCCATTCTTCTGCTTTATCCTGTGAACCAGGATACTTCAAAACCTGGAAGGGAAGCAATGACCAGTGTCCTCTGTGGGGGGAAGGGCTGACTGTGGGCTAGGACAGGGAAGTAGGCTCAGATAGTTTTGTCATCCTGATAAGCCCTTAGAGTGATCTCGAGAGTGACCACGAGACTTTGTTTATTGACTTGTTTGTTAATTGCCTGTTTGCATTTATTATATTGCTAGATCTTCAACCTACAACTGACCTCAATACTTGCATATAATTAAAATGGGTTAAAAGCAAATTGGGAAAAAAATAAACCTGGCTCAGCCTTCAGCCTCAGAACTGGCTGGGGTCATGCTACAATATCGTCTAATTTTCTTTATTCTCTTTAATCCTCACTCCTACACTGGAGAACCTGTTCACTGACTGAGCTGGCTTGGAGAGACAAAGAAGGATGAATCCACATTAATGATGTCTTTTGTCAAAGAAATGCTGTGTGACAGTCAACAATTGATTAGTATGTATAGTGTATCCATTGCTGGGTAACAGGTTCCTGTATTTTTTTTTCAAAGCTATCCAGGGGAATTAGGATTTGAACTCCCCTTGAGAATATCGAACAGAGTTTTAGGTTTTCCTGTGGCAAGCATAAGGTAAGGGCTTAGCCACTGAATAACTTCTAACAACTTTTGAGAATCATTAAAAGTAAATTTTTTTTTCATGTACACCTGCACACCTGAAGAGGGTACAAGATACAATTACAGATGGTTGTAAGGCACCTTTTGTCTGATGGGGATGGTTTCAGGACTTCTGGAAGATCAGCCAGTGCTCTTAATGTGTAAGCCATCTCTCCAGCCCCAAACTATATTTTCTTATTGGAATTTTCTTTGCCACAATCTGCTTAGGATATAACTGAGGTTCCAATCCACCACTCCCTCCCTGAAGACTCACAAAGTGTCCATCCATTCCTACAGACCCACTATGTGACCATCACTCCCTGAAGACCTACTAACTGACCTTCATTTCCCTGCAGACTCACTAAGTGATCATAATTCCCTACAGAATCACTAAATGACCTTTCCTTCCTGCAGATTCAACAAGTGACCACACCCTCCAAGCAGACTCATTGGGTAACCATATCTTCCCTGCAGATTCAGGAAGTGACTGTATTTTCCCATAAACCCATTAAAAATCATCAATTCCCGGTAATATAAGTGTCCATCCCTTTCCTACACACTCACTAAGTGATGTATTTGTTCATTTCTGCTTTAATCCTAGAAGTCAGGAGAAGGGCCACTTGAGAGGGTAAAGTCATTTCCTACCCACAACAGCTCTGCAACTCACCATGTGTCTGGGGTCCCAGATCCATCACCTTTTGTTCTTTTGAGAGAGCCACCTTTGGGTTCAGACCTTCTACCTTCCCAGGAATGGCTATATGAGGAGGGCACTAGCAATCCCTGTCCTCTCCTGTAAGTTGTTCTGACTCCAAATGCAGGACACAAACAGTTTCTCATTATGTTCATAACACTCTGATTTGTGGCTCCAGAGTGCAAGATACAGAGACAAAAGGTGAGTGTGGGACTGCACCATGAAACCTCTTTAATGAAACATACATGTATCCTGACATGGGTCTAGCAAGCAAGGGTCAGAAGGGAATTGACCTGTGTTAATGAACAATCAGTTGTGTTTTCTTTGGCAGTTAGATAGGGAAAACCAAAGATCATTACATATCTACAGAGCAAAGCAGTCCAAATACCTGAGAGGTCAGGTATTCATGACTGTTAGGAAATGCAGTGTGTACTGAAGGTCAAAAGGATGAACTCCTCCATGCCTACACTTTTGTGAGTGAGCAACTTCAAGGCTCATTTTGACTCCGAGTATCTTTCTCTCTCTACTTGACTTCTAGGAGCCATGTGGATCTACCTGGTGGCACTTGTGTGCCTGTGGACTATTTTTCGCTTGTTGAGGGAGAGGCAGGTGGTGGACCATCTCCATGACAAGTATGTCTTCATCACAGGATGCGGCTCTGGCTTTGGGAACCTGCTGGCCAGACAACTGGACAGGAGAGGAATGAGGGTATTGGCTGCCTGTCGGAAGGAGGAAGCAGCCGAGCGGCTGAGGAGTGAGACATCAGACAGGTTGGAGACAGTGATCCTTGATGTCAGCAACACAGAGAGTATTGTGGCAGCCACTCAGTGGGTGAAGGAGCGTGTTGGGAACAGAGGTACCATTGAGATTCCTGTCTGTGTTGTTGGTTTCTGGTCTATGTATTTTTCTCTGTTCGCTCTTTCTCTTTCCTTATTAGAATAATAAGGAAGAGCAGTCCTTCCTTATTACTGCATTTTCTGACCATTAGAAAGAAAAAGGCAGCAGTGTGTAAATTTCTCATAACTCTCTGAAGATTTGTGTGGCTTTTTCAGAGTTCTATGTCTGTGAAGGCATGTCATGACCATGGTGACTCTTCTTAAGGATAAAGTTTGAAAAGACTGGCTTAAGTTCAGGGGTTTAGTTCATTATCAATATATCAGGCAGTGTGGTAGATTATGCACAGACATAGTGTTAGAGAATTAACTGACAGCTCTACATAAAGATCCATAGGTAGAAAAAGCAGCAAGACTCTAGGATAGGCCACTTCCAGTGAATCATATAATCCAACAAGACCACACACACTCCAGCAGTGCCTCATGACATTGAGCCAATGGCTGCCATTCCCATTCAAACCACCAAAACAAATAAAAGAACAAAATCACAGCAAGGATGGCATCAAAATGTAAGTCACAAACATACTTTTGTAATCTCAAGATTAACAAAGGTGCACCATGTTTTGCTCATCTGTTCTTAAGTTAGCAAGTGAGAAAGGACTCCTTGCTGATTCACAGGTAGAGAACTGGGCCTCAAAGTCTTAACAAATGAAGGTATCCATGTTGTGAGCCAGCACTGTTCTGCAGCTGTGTGGATACTCTGCTCTTTTTCATTGATTCCTATTGTCCAAGAAGCATGTGTCATAGTGATCTTACCTTATTAAATGTGCATTTTATCCATAATTAAAACTGTGTTGTGTGACTGTCTCTTCCTACTGTCCCTAGGACTCTGGGGCCTGGTCAACAATGCTGGCATCTCCACCCCATGGGGTCCTAATGAGTGGATGAACAAACAGGACTTTGAAACTGTACTGGATGTGAACCTGTGGGGCATGATCGAGGTGACACTGAGCTTGCTGCCCTTAGTGAGGAAGGCGAGGGGCCGCGTGGTCAATGTCTCCAGCATCGTGGGTCGACTGTCCTTTGGTGGTGGTGGTTACTCCATCTCCAAGCATGGAATAGAGGCCTTCTCAGATTCTCTCAGGTATTAGAAGGGGAAGGGGACACCCAGGGAAACTTAGGGAAGGTTTTTATTTACTCAAACTCTTTAAGTCCCCATCATGGTGAGGACACTTGGGTTCTGCATCTCTTTCACCTTCCCAACACTGACTCATTCAATTTGCAACATTATTCCATGGCTCTACAAGACATCATGACTGAGACATGAGTTGAGTTCATTTGACCTATTACAGAAGAAAAAGGGCACTGGGAAATAATACTGGGATAGGATTGGATATGTGAGGTTTGGGGTCGTGAATGCAGAACCCAGATCTCTATGTGGTGACAATTTTTTTTGGAATTGGAGAAAATATTTTCTTCAAGTCCACAGATAGATATCAGGCCTCTTTTAGACATTTTAGCATAACTTACCTGCTTCTATCATGACCTAAAACTGTGGCAAGCAAGTGAATGAAAGAGGAGTCAAATAAGAACTGTGACCTTCCTGTGAGATAGATGTGGCCTTTCAGCACTTTTGACCCTTATAGCTGTCAGATTTGTTGAGGGTCCTGTAGCAGGATTACACTGTATCAGAGTAAACATGAGATTCTGGAACATCAAACCTGTATCTGTAGATGCATTCTCTTTGGAGAATGGAAAGGCCATTTATGGAATGAGGGTGGTCAACAGGTGGGCACAGGACAACTTGTGGAGAACTGTATGGGGCAGAAGGCTACTTATTTTGTTTTGTGGGCAGTGCAACCCTTCAAAGGGCTAGAATCAGGACAGCCATTTGGGGCAGGGAACATGTAGGCTGCCATTGTAAGTGAGTTGGATGCAGAAGGTTGTTCTCTAGAAACACCCCGAGGAAGAAAGTGGGGGATGTCCTGAGAGCTTCCTAGACACATGTGGGGTAGATGGAGACTTACTAGTAAGTTAGGGATTACTTGGAGAAGGACTAGAATCCCTTACATCTGAACTACCTGGAGAAAGATGTTATACAGTGCCATAGACCAGAATGTCTAGTCTTAGAACGTTGAGCTACACACAAAAAATACTTAGTGTGAGCTACAAGAGCACAGAGGAGATGCCATTATCACACTATCCTTCAATATTTCCTGTACACCAGACCCAAAAAGGTTTGACCTCCCCTCACCATAGGCTCCTGTTTGCATGCTACTCTACTCTTATTAAAGTGTTCTCACGGAAAGACTTCTGAAGTCCATGGGCACTGATCTACACACAAAAAAATACTTAGTGTGAGCTACAAGAGCACAGAAGAGTTGCCCTTATCAAAATATCCTTCAATATTTCCTACACCCCAGGTCTGAAGCATGTGTGGTATACCCTCACCACAGGCTTTTGTTGGCATGCCAATCTTCTCTTATTAAAGTGTTCTCACTGAAAGACTTGTGAAGTCCTTGACATCGGTCTGCCTTGCAGGAGGGAACTTTCCTACTTTGGGGTGAAGGTGGCTATTATAGAGCCTGGACTCTTCAAGACTGGAATGACTAGTAATGCCAGAATTTCATCAAACTTCCAGATGCTGTGGGAGCAGACCAGCTCAGAAATCAGGGAGATCTATGGCGAGAAATACTTGGCATCCAGTAAGTGAGCTCTGAGAATGAAAGTGAAGTCCACTCTTGAACACTTTAGCTCCATGCTCATTTTTGCAGTTCCAATAGTATACTTGTTATCCTCAAAGAATCCTCAAAACATGCTGCTCTGTTACTTCTGATCCTCATGCTCATGGGGCTGTAAGTGAAGTCAGGAATGGGAGGCAGTACAAAATTAACACTTTTCATGAAATGAGATACAGGTGACTGAGTGTTCTCAATTATTCCTTGAAGATTGTTTCTGGTTCTTCTGAGGAACTGGGACAGGCTAGGCATGGTTTCAGACACATGGATTTTCTGACATAGAGGATAGAAGTTTTCCTCTAGGCTGGTATGAGACAGGAGTGTTGGGAAAAGAATGACCATCTGAATGATTCCTCATTCTGCTTAGGTCTGAAAATGGTAAAGAAAATGGAGCAGAGGTGCAAGAAGGACCTGTCTTTGGTGACTGACTGCATGGAGCATGCTCTGACTGCCTGTCACCCTCGCACCCGATACTCAGCTGGATGGGATGCCAAGCTCTTCTACCTCCCCTTGAGCTACCTGCCCACCTCCCTTGTGGATGCCTTTTTCTACTTGACTTCTCCAAAGCCTGAGAATGCCCTGTGAAGTCTAGATACTTTTGTGTAGTTGGGTCAGTAGAAGTACATTGTGAGGGCATAGAGTGTCAGGACAAGGAAGATTCCTGGGCTCAGCACACACGTGATGTGTATAGTTGTCTGGCTTTTCTTTCCACACCATAAACATCATGGATTTGGGACCACGGGAAACTGCTGTGCTTAAACAATCATTACCATTGTTGCTGAAGTACAAAATGATCTTCCTTGTCTTGGGTTTATCCATTTTACTCATGATTTGTTTGTTTTTTTGCTTGAAGTTTTCTTTTTTTTTTCTCAAATCGTAATTATTTCACACTGGGGTTATAACCACAGAAAGGCATGATGTGTGGAAGGGAATGACACTGGAGTGTGAGTGTTCAGGGGGGATACAGATATCTTCAGAACCAGGTATCGGCTAGGTGAAGGTTCAGGGGACAATTCACTATGACTCTGCCTATGACTCGCTTTTCCTTGTCTAAGTTGGTATTGTCTGCCAAGGCTACCTATTTACAAGGTCTATGACTACTCAGGCTGGTAAATTTCCACAAAAGCTGCCTGTTTACAATAGCTTATACCCATCTGTTTCAATGTTTTTCCACTGAGACCCAAGACTTGGTGTTAGTATACAAGTATGACAGGCCTATTGCCTACGGCTGATTTTAGGCCTACACGGTGTAAGCAGGGCTGCCCCTGACATCCCCTCCCTTCTCTAAGAATAGAAGGGCTGTGGCAATTCTAAACTTGCGAAGGCGGGGATAGAGGCCTGACCTCCAGTATTTGAAGGGAACCTTGTAATGGCTCCAGTCCCCCGTCATTGTCCAGTGAGGCATGTGGGCCATACCCATCCCAAGGTCTTTTTCCTGGAGAGGGGATACTTTTGACATCAACACCTATGCAATCAGGCTTGTCCCTCAGGGAACTCAGATAGATATTTTTATCTTTTATTTGTATTGCCTTGCAGTGCTTAGCCTCGCAGCCTAAGCAAGAATTCAGATCGCCTGTCAGAGGGGGTTCTGGGTGGCCCCTCTCTGCTTGGTCTAGGGGCAGAAGTCCCCCCTTTTAGGTTGGGTGGAGATGGGCTTTGGAAACACCCTGTATAAAGTAACAACCTCATCTTGAGTCTCGTGGTCCTCCATAGCTAACTTATGATAATGTATCTGAGTAGGTTTTGCTACCAAATTATTTATCTGTTGTATCACAGAGTTAGTCTGCCTATTTGAGGGCCAGCGACTGGCAGAAAAAAGCAAAAAGAACCCAAATAATGGTCCCAAGATGGAAGGAAATAGGGTTGACAACCTTGGAGAGGCTGCAAACCAATTCTTGTACCAGCATTCATCTGTCTCTTTCTCTCTCTGATTTTTCTTAGGGACTTCACTACCTACTTCATGCTCTCTTAAACTCTCCTTGTCTTGTCTATGTAAAGGCAACCATCTTCTTTGAGGGATATACACAGTCAAGAGCTATATACAGCCTTTTTTATTGTACTAGAGTACATTAAGTCCAGTAAGGATCTTTGCAATTTTAGGAGGTCTTTTCAGAAGGTGAAATGAGGAATTTCTTCAGATTAGTGATGTTAATCTCTAGCTGTTTGATGTTCTTCTCAGTGGCCCTTCAATGGTCTGTGTAGTATGAGTTCGGAGGCCAGCATCTGGATTCATGGGTGATTCATTTTTACCTGGGATGCTGCCTGAGTTAAAGCTCCTGGGAGTCCCTCTTTCTCTCGGTTTTCTGGGGTTGGGTAGGGAGCTGCCGCCTGTGACCTGCTCTATGCTTGGGCCCAGACCGGAAGTCCTTACTGATGATTTTTAAACATTTGTTTTTATTTATCTGTATTCATATGTATCTGTAATCCAGGTGTGTAGAGTACCCATACAGGCCAGATCATTGCATACCCTGGAACTGAAGATTCAGGTAGTTGTGAACTTCCAAACCTTGGCATTGGCAACAAAATTTGGGTCAGCTAGTTGATAATCTAGTCCTGTCACCAGCTGTTTATGATCTGTACTCTTTATTGTGCTTTAAGTTAATGATCAATTTATTTTGAGGCCGGATATCACTTGTCACACAGGTACATCATTTAGACCTTCTGAATCTCTGGCCTTGTTACAATTCAGCTGGCTTATTTCTGAAACCCTGACTAGTGGAGATGAGGGAACGGAAAAAAGACAGACACACAGACACAGGTACAGAAAAGATGGCATCAGGTGCCTTGTGTCAGCACTGAGGGTCCTCAGCTACATCCCCTGAAACCTCAGCTCCTTTATCATGAACAGCATGGGGGAAGGGCCAGCTAGTCCTGTGTGAAGGCAGGAGTCTCAGGCTGGAAACCTCCAGAAGGGGGAAGCTGCAGTTGCTAGTATTTACACTCTGGTCAGTCATTAACCAAACCCTGAACTTGAGTCAGTGAAAGAAGGCTTTGCTAATTCTTAGCTTGACCTATATAGAGAAAAGCTTTGCCAGTTTGTGGTGCCTGGCCAACAGTATACATTCACCCAGGACTACACTCACGCAGGGCTTCCTCTGCCTCTTTGGTCCCATGTCTTCAGAGGGTGTATTTGAGTCTTTGATACCAGTTTAATGTAAACAAGGTGACTTTCTTCTCTTATAATGTTACTTCTTCTCTTAAATTTATTTTTGTACAATTATATGTGTGTGTGTGCACATAACACACATATGCACATGCAAGCACATGAACACACACACACACACACACACACACACTCTCCTCCCAATTATCACCTGCCACGCCACCTAACCTTTTGTCTTCTGAACAAGTCCATGGCCAATTTTCTTGTAAGGTATGTCTTTCTGTCCCATTGCATTACTTAGGACTGCATGTATCAACATTGGTGTATGCAGGGAATGATTAGCTCAACTCCTGGGAGCGCTCACACATGGATTATTGAAGCTTGTTTGGCGGTTGTGATTCCAACCAGTCTGCTGACCCAGTTGGCTGGGACCATGACTCTGGGCAGCAGGAGCGCACACAGGAAGTTTGACTGAGTAGGTTCAGACAGAGCACCAGGCAGGCACTGTGCTGTGAGATTTGGCCAGGGACCCATGCAGCTTGGGGAGTTCCCACTCAGTCTGAAGTTCTGTGGGGTGGGCAGGCCTCTTGAGTGGGGATCCACGGGCCAGGAGTTGGCCAGGGACCCACAGGCCACCATTCTGGGGCCCTGAGTCACTGCTGAGTGCCACAGCAGAACAGAGGCGAGAAGCAAGTGGGCACAGAACGAGCACACACACTGAGAAATACAAGTGGGGGAGAGAGAGGCCCTAACAAAGCCCCGTGGAAAGCGTTTGCTTATTATACTCACTTGGCTAAAAAGCTGCTTGTTTGAAGATACCCACTCCCCATCCCCCACAGCAGAAAATGCAGAGAAGCTTTCCAAGATGGCAGGCTCCAATGAAATGAGGAAGTCCATGATTCCAAAATGGCTTTATTTTCATAGTGGATGATATTTGAATGTGGATGTGCACCCCCACTTAAGTCAGGGGAGACCTGACATAAACAGAAAGGGGAGAGGTGGGGGGTGTCTATGTACTTAACTACACCCTCTGGCCTTTAGATATCTCATTGATATGGAAATACTTTTAGGCTAAAGCCTGTAGTCACACCCTCAACCTGTGTTAGGTGACTATGCTTTGGGAGGGGCTGCCTTGCCCTAAGTGACTGCAAGGTAGAGGTCAATGGCAAGTCACGATCCTGGAGTCTGGGGTCAAGGCTGAACACCTACCATTGCACCATTGGGGTTGGAATTTGAGGCCTGTGCCACACCAGAAACCAAGCCATCCCTTCATAGGCCCACAGGTGTGGAGTTATTTACTTGACCAAGAGCAACATATCAGTAACGACTCTGTTGAGGAATTTGCCCCCCACTCCCTCAGCAACCATGAAATGCCTGTAGTTCTCCAGGGAGGGGGGAGTGGCCTTATGATCCATCACCACTGACACCATTGATTGGACAAGCTGATAACATCACTTTTGTATACAATACACTTCCTCATCCAGATCACAGGAATCCAGCTGGCTTTACTGCTACCCAAGATTACACTTCCATCAGTAAATTCTCCCCAATACATTGCAGTCTGTACCCACCTTGACCTACCTGACCATCTTCTTAAAACTCATAGCACCTTGGGGTTGTTGATTCTCCTATATCTAGGCCAGGTTGATGGAGAACACCAAAGCAGGAGTAGCCTGCTTCTCTCCTTATGCCCATGCTGAGACCATAGACCCTCAGACACTGAGGATCTGAATGTAGCACACTCCATTGCATAAGGACTGTAAAGATAGGAAGGTGTCTTGGAACTCATTTAAAATTGGGGCCTTAACCCTACCCACTAGAGAAGCATTATTTTGGCATACATTCTGGACAGACACTATCCTTCAGGAAATCTAAAGAGGAGCCATACTATCAGTTCACATGACTGTCCATGGAGCACTCCAGAGTGATTACAGGATGCCAATTCATACAATAGTTGGGGGTGGGGTGGATGAAGAAGCAGGAGAAATAAGGAGAAAGAGGAAAGAATAAGCCAGGTTCCATAGCTATGGACAACTTTTAGTTTGTTATCACATGGTCAAAAGGTACTCAAAAAAGAGATGGACTCTATGCAAGTTCTCTGTGGAAACCAGAAACTCACCATATGCTTGCTCCAGTCAGAAGGATGGAGAAGACTGGTGTGCATTGCCCAGCTTTGCCTAGGCTGACCTAGGTATCAGTGAGGAGCTGATTCCACCCAGAGCTGGAGTTTTCAATCCCCAAGTTGGGGCCTTGCCCAGGTCCTTCTCTGCTTCCTGTCCCTCTGCTTCCTGCTGCTAATCCTCTTGTTCTGCCTCTGTGTCCTGCTGTTCCTCCTGTTGCTCCTCCCCTGCTGCTCCTCCTCCTGCTACTACTCTTGCTCCTGCTCTTCCTACTGCTGCTTCCCCTTGTGTTTCTCCCCTTTCTTTTCCTCCCTCTCCCCTAATTCCTCCTGTTCCTCCTCTTGCTAATCCTCTTCCTGTTCCTCTTGCTCCTGCTGCTCCTCTTCCTGCTGTTTCTCTTCCTCCTGCAGTTCCTCCTCCTTCTCCTCCTTCTCCTCTTTCTCCTCCTCCTGTTCTTCCTCCTACTCCTCTTCCAGTTCTTCCTTCTGCTGCTCCTCATCCTACTGCTCCTCTTCCTGTTGATTCACCTTCTTCAATTTTCTTCCTATTCCTGCTACTCCTCTTCTCCTTCTTTCTGTACCTCTCTAACTCTTGCTTCTACTCTTCA